GAAGAGAAAGCCCAGATGAATATCGGTGCCCTCGACAAGATCCCGTCGAGGCACAGGGCGGGCAGGGGCGCGCAGTGTGACGACGAGTGGAGTCGCGAATGCAAGATCTGCGATGACGAGGACGAGGAGACGAACACAGACACGATCGCTAACGCGGTCACGGCCGAGAAGGAGCTGGCGAGCGAGAAGGAGAAGACGGAGGCATTGGAAGACCTCGCAGCAGCAGGCCTTCGTTGGGATACCCCAAACCTTCCGACGGGCGCGCCTGCAGCGAGCGCCCATGGCGCCAAGATTGACATCGAGATCGAGGGGCAAACGGAGAATGAGGACCTGAAGACGTTCCATGCGATCAAGAGCAAGCCGAAGCACGTCTGGAAGGCGTTCAGTGAGACGATCACCGGTTTGAAGTGGATGTTCGCGATTGCCAGCGAGCCGACCCAGACGAAATACCTCGGGCCTCTCAGGGCAGACATCGAGGCGCTGATCCCGAAGCTCAAGAACGCGTTCGGGCAGGTGGAGTGCGTGCACCTCGCTAGTGGCATCGAGTCGGCCCTGGATGATCCCCAGATCCTTGCGATCGCGAGGAACCTCGACAAGCTGCGCGAGGAATTCAACCAGCTGAACGAGTGGCTCCAGCGCATGGCACCCAAGAAGGCTCGCAAGGACAAGGGCCCATGAGAGTCCTGAAGCTCGGCAACCTTTCGAGACGGCCAGTCCTGAGCCTGCTCCCCGCTCTCCTCCACCCGAGTCCCATCCACTCCCCCACCTAAGCCCGCTCCCATTCCCTACCCCTCATTATTCCTTCCGCCTCCCTCTTTCCCGCCGTTCCCCTTGACGCTGCGGGTGCAGCTAGCTCCCAAGACAGGCGGATATGCGTTCTGCATCGGTGGAACCTCAGCTGCCCCAGTTGTGCGAGATGCACTTCTTGTTTTCAAGGGGGAGCGGTCGCGATGGCTCTAGCTTTGAATCGCGCGTCGGGCTGCGCGTGCACTTGGGGACAAGGTTCGGCCAGAAGCGAAACGCAACGCTCAGAACGAGGACCCATCGACACCACAACCGCAACAACCTATTGCACAACGAGCATGGTCACCACCACAACCTCCATCGTCACAACCATCATTGTCATCACCACCACTGGCATCACCATCACCATCACGCCCATCATTGTCAGCATCACCATCACCGCCGCCACCGCAACCACCACGACCACCATCACTATAATCACCGTCGCCACCATCGCAACCACCATCACCACCAACACCCCCATCATTGTCATCATCACCACCATCACCACTGGTATCGCCATCGTTGTCACCAACACCACTGGCACCACCATCACTTCCATCGTTACAACCGTCATTGTCATCATCGTTGTCCGCTGCAGCCTTTTGGGCTCGACCCGCGTTGGCTCCATGTGCACAGTGCAGCTACGTATCCATATTGTTATAATATCCAACTTCTTTGTGTGCTCGCTGGCTCTCTGCATGAGGGGTGGCGTGCGGCAGCGGTTGTTCTCCCAGGATGAGCAGTCTGGTGGACAACCCGTCGCGCCTGAGGGCGGGCTGGATTCGACATCGCCCCAGAGACGGCCCACCCGATGCTCGGACTCGGAAGGCTGGTGTCGACATAGAAGACAACCCCCTGGACAAACTCTTGATGAAGAGGTGGTGCCAAGGGAACCTCACTTGCAAAGATTTGCTTGAATTTGCAGTGGCTGCCCAATCACAAGGGTGTCCAGATATCGAGGCACTGGCGATACGTGATATTAAGAATGCAGCTCGGAATCTGATGAACGCGATTGGCTACCCCGAGAAGGCGCCACCTGTCAAATTTACAGAAACCCCGACGGATAAGGTTTGGCAGAAGCGTGAGCTACCAATTATCTGCCCGATAGATACGCTGGAGAGTTTGGTTGCCAAGAACCCTGAGAGGTTCGAACAAACTGCAAAAGGGCCTGACAATGACATCCAATCTTTTTGGTATGGCATTAGAGGGGCCCGGGTGCACGAGCGTCATAGGCGCATCATCGACGTCGAGCGCGCGATGGCTGTGCAAGTGATGCAGACGGTGCGCCGACCACAAAGGTCGACGGGTTGATGACTATTTCGTGGTCGACCCTGCATGGCGGAGGGTCGACAACAGAAACGTTTTTTTTTTTTTTTTTTTTTTTTTTTTTTTTTTTTTTTTTTTTTTTTTTTTTTTTTTTTTTTTTTTTTTTTTTTTTTTTTTTTTTTTTTCACCGTTCCCAAATCGTGGATGCAGTCAAAGGATGTCTTGGATGTAGTGTTCACTCGCCTCGCGTGGGCGTTCAACGCTTTATGTGCTGGTGCGTTGCCAATGACGGACTGGCAGGGCGGGCGCATCGAGGGCGGGCGACAACTTGCACAGGGCTGGCGCCTGGCAGCGATTTTCTGCGGAGGCGGTTGGGAATTTCATTCATCGGTGTGCGGGTTTCCTACCGGACAATCTGTTCCAAACAACTGTTGGTTGTGCCGTGCAAGCCCTTTGGATGGGCCTCTATGCTGCTACCGCGTTTCGGCTGATGCAGGTTGGAGGGCAACGCTCAAGTCGCACGAATCATATCTCAAGGAATGTGTTGATCGCAATGTGCCCCCATGCGCCCTCACGAAGATCAATGCGCTTCAGATTGAGGGGTTTCTGCCTGACGCCAAGCGCGGCATGGGCGAAGGATTCATGAGTGCTGTTGCTGGGAATGTTATGTTCGAAGTCGCGGAGGAGGCTGGCTGGGGCCCGAACCAGCGCGCTCGAGCGGCGCACTTGAATGGGGATCTGCAGCAATTCTGCAAACATACAAAAGAAACGGTACGGATTGACGGTAAGATCACATATGAAAGAGTGAGGGCAGCTGGAGAATGGCCGCTTCTTAAGGCCAAGGCTGCAGCAACGAGACACGTAGTCCCATACATCACGCAGCTTGCATCAAAGTTCAATTCTGGAAGCGACCACGACGTTCGCAGACTCATTGTGTGCACGTGCTTGAACAACGCGTATACCATCATGAAGAATGGTGGTCGTTTCCTCGCGCAGGCCAATAAGGATGATCTTAGACACATCAGTGTAGCAATGATGGGGTGCTATCGAAATATGAGCCTTGAGTACTTGGATAACTGTTGGCGGAAATGGAGAATGCTCCCGAAATTACATGCGACGCAACACATTCTTGAGCATCTGGCTTCCGTTATCAACCCGATGTATGTTTGTTTGTACGGCGATGAGGACCCCCAGCGCCTCATCAAACAAATCGCTGTCCAGTGCCACCCTGCTGCGGTGCCATACATGTGTTTGTTCAGGTGGATTGTACAGACCTTCGAAGAATTCGATTGAAACCATCTGCGTTTCCTGGAGTGGGCCCTGCAGCGGCGCCCGTTGAGATGAAAAAAAACTGGTTGTTTGTTGATCCAGCCAGAAGCATCCGCAGGGGATATCGTTAGCAGCTTTCGCTCCCCCGCCCGCCCATACAGCGTATGATATTGCGTCTTGCAAACAAAAGAACTAATGATGACGATGAGGGGGAGGGAGGAGAGGACGAGGGAAAGATATGGAGGACGACGACGAGAGGGAGGGGGAGGAGGAAAGAAAAGGGGGAGGAGGGGGGAGAGAGGAGGAGGACGAGAAGGATACATTTTTATTTTGCACGCCGCTCACAAGCGCCCGAAGAAACAAATAACAAGAGAAGGAAACATCGAACCGCTAAAAAGAAAACGCGGTCGGACAGACAGTTCGTCACTTCTGGAAAGAATCACGCGCAAGGCGTGGTTTTCAAGATATGTGCCGATTTCATGTAGCGGCGTGATTAAAAAGGGCACGCGCGAGCCCTTGGGTGCCCGGGTGACGGGTGCCCGGTGCCCGGGTGGGTGCCCGGGTGCTCAGGTGCCCGGGTGACGGGTGCCCGGTGCCCGGGTGCCGGGTGCCTGGTGCCCGGGTGCCCGGTGCCCTGTAGCCCTACAGCCTTATAGCCCTATATCCCTATCGCCCCATAGCCCTATAGCCCTATAGCCCTACAGCCCGATAGCCCTATAGCCCTATACCGTATAGCCCTATAGCCCTGTAGCTCTATTTCTATATAGCCCTATAGCCCATATAGCCCTATAGCCCTACAGCCCTAAAAAGATTATGATTGCGGTTTTTCTCTGGTCTCATTTTTGCCTTTCTGCCTCGATGATCTGGTATCTGCGACGTGATATTATATCAAGAGGATGGGGAGGAGCAGAGGGAGGAGGAGAAGGTTGGAACAGACCCCCGACGTCGCGATTCTGTCCCAAAGCGGGGTCCCTGGACTTCCCGAGTAGTTTGCATGTTTTCCCGGGGTCAGACGACATTTTGGGACACCAAAAATTGCGAAAAACCTTTTACGAGTCATTTGACAAAGCCTTTCGTAGAGGTCTGGATCCTTGGCTTCACAGTCGACCCCCGGGCCTATGTAGGGTTAGCGCTGTGCAGAATTTCGGGGGATCCAGCAATAGAGACGAGAAGCCTCTGGGAGGCCATTAGAGATCCCGATCAAGTCCGAAAGCCCCAATCCTCGAACCTCGATCACCATGGACGTAGTGCTTTATTCACGTGGACCCCCTGGGGTCTTGACCCCCTCCCCGAGACCAGCTCTTCATCCTATGCCGCTTTTTGGTTTGATGAGGGCCTCCCAAGGCAACAAGCTGCCGAAAGCACGTCCAGAGACCTCGACCTTCGATCCAAGCGAGGCGAAGGAGGAGGGGCTGCGACGACGACGACGGCTACGGCATCGAGAACGAGTTCGAGGACGACGACGACGCCAACGAAGACGGCCCCCGGAAGCCTGCGAGAACCTCCAAACATTTCTGAACCCCTCAGGGAACCTAAGTACCTAAGTTTAGAAAACCTTCGAAGAGCTTGGAAAGCGGCGACAAAGTCAACAACAACGACGATGATGACGACGAAGACGACGACGACGACGACGACGACGACGACGACGACGACGACGACGACGGCGAGGACGACCGCAGGCGATGCGCTGGGGGCTCGTGACGGCGACCACGCCCGTGGGCGTGGAGGCCGGCCGTTCCCCGCGCGCGTCGTCGCCGCCGTCGCCGTCGTTGTTGCCGTCGCCGTCGTCGTCGAGCTCTGACATCCTGTCGTTGTGAAAAACTGCGACGACGTATTTTGCGTCCTCCGGGGGCCCTTTCCGGGTGCCTTGACCGTCAACAAAACAGCTTTTGGCGGCTGAGCGATTTGGCGGCCCCCCCTTGGAGCGCCCCGACGCTATGCTTGCTACACTGGGATGCTCTTGGGACTCTGGGAGGAGAGTCGGGGGTGCCTAAACCAGAATGTCGTCTTACTCCACCGAGACATCCTCACGATCTGCAGCAGAGCCGCCCAGCGGGCCCGTGCAACACCCCCTGGCGGCTCCCTCTTGCGGTCGCCAGAGACATCCTCACGATCTGCCCGGAAAGCAGAGAAGTCCAGGCCACCAAGCAGGCAAGCCACCTGAGACATCCCCACACTCTGGGCGCGAACGGGGCCGTGCGACACCTCCTGGCGCCCCCCCCCCCCCTGGGTGCCGAAGCTGGCGCCGACCTCCTCACAATCCGGCCTGAAGGCGCAGAAGTCCAAGGCACCAAGCAGGCAAGCCGCGCGAGACATCCCTGCAGTTGGGCCGCGAACGGGCCTGTGCAACATCCCCTGGAGGCTCCCACTTGAGGCGCTGAAACCAGCGGCTCGCTCGAAACATCCTCACGATCTGCTTCGAAAGCAGAGGTGTCCAAGCCACAAAACAGGCAAAGCGCCTGAGACATCGCCACAGTCTGGCCCGATCGGGCCCGTCCAACACCCCCTGCGGTCACCCCTTTAGGTGCTGAAGCAAGGGCCTTGCTCGGGACATCCTCACAATTTGAGTGTGAGCTGAGCCTTAGTGTGAGTGGTCTGTGTGAGTGAATCCGAGAGTGAGTGAGTCTGGGTGTGAGTGACTCTGAGTGGTTCTGAGTCTCAGTGCGGGACGTGAAGCTGAGAGTGCGTGTATCTGAGTACTTATGGTGAGCCTGAGCCTGAATGAACCTGAGTGTTGAGCCTGAGTATGGGTGAGTCTGAGCGTGAGAAAAGAAGGATGCGAGAGGGAGTGGATGAGGAGGCGGAGGCGTCCCAGTAATTACTCGACGCGGAGATCCCCAGATGTGCATCTCATTTCCTGACACGTCCCGCTGTGAGCGTCTGGCTGTGAGAGCGAGTCCAAGCGTACGACGGTTACGACGACGGCAGCAATGACGACGATGGTGGTTACGATGAGGGACAGCGACGACACCGACAACCACTCACAGGCAGGCGGTGAGCAGGTCCCTCTTATCCTTCCTCTTCCTTCTCGTCGTACCCCCTCCGTCCTCTTTCTCCTTCCTCCCTTCTTCCTCCTCCTGGGTCCGCCTCCTTCCTCCTCATTCCTCTCTCATCCTCCCAGGCGGCCGTCCTTCTCCCTCCTGCGTCCTCCTTCCTCCTCGTCCTCCCTCCTCCTCCTTCTCCTTCTGCTTCTTTTCCTCCACCTCCTCCTCCTCCTCCTCCTTCCCCCCCTTCCTCCGTGGCAAGTGCATCCTTTTCTGGCGCCCCCCACCCTTCGTTTTCCTCTTCCTCCTTGCCGTAATCCCTCCGCTGGCTTCCTCCGTCCTCCCTTCTCCCTCCTCCCGCGTCCTTCTCGGCCGTCATTTCCTCTACATCGTGGTGATCATGTGGTTCTGGCTGGACAGGGATATGAACACAAAACCCAGCGCCTCGCTTGAGACGTCACCACGATCTGACAGCGAACGGGCGACTGTCCTATCCCTTGGCGGCTCCACCTTGGAGGACTCAGGCCAGCGCCTCGCTCGAGACATCCTCACATTCTGCTCCCTGGTGACTCCCTGTTGGATGCTGAAGCCAGCGCCTCGCTCACGACATCTTCACACTTTGCTCTGGACGCGGGACCGCTTGAGACATGCCCACAGCCAGCTCTGAAAGCAAGTGAGCCTGGGGCACCAAGCAGTCAAATCACTTGAGACATCCCCACAATCTGTCTTGAGCGCAGACAAGTTCAAGCCACCAGTCAGGCAAACCGCTCGAGACATCCCCATACTCTGGGCGCGATCGGGGCCGTGCGACAACTCCTGGCGCCCCCCCCTAGGGTTCTGCAACCGGCGAATCGGTTCAGCCATCATCACAATCTGGTCTGGACACAGACAGGTCCAGGCCACCAACCAGGCAAACCGTTTGAGCCATCACCGCAATTTGGGCGCGAACGGGTCGTGCGACCACCCCGACTGCTCCCCCTTGTGGTGCTCAAGCCAGTAAGTCGCCTGAGATATCTCGACAATCTGTTCTGGAAGCAGGCAGGCCTACGCCACCAAACAGGGCAACCGCTTGAGACATCCCAGCAATCTTGGCGCGAACGGGGCCGTGAAACCACCGCTGGCTGTTCCCCCTTGGAGTGATGAAGCCAGCGACTCGGCTGAGGCGTCCTCGCAATCGGCTTCGAATGCAGAGCAGAGACGTCCGAGCCACCAAACAGGCAAGCAACATCCCCACACTCTGGGCGCGAACGGGGCCGTACAACCAACCTTGGCGGCTCCCCCTTGGGGTGTTGAAGCCGGCAACTCGGCTGAGCCGTCCTCACGATAAGCGTGAGTGACTCTGAGTGTGAGTGAGTCTGGGTGTGAGTGAGTCTGACAATGAGTCAGTCTGATTTCGAGTGAGTCTGAGTGCGTATGAGTCTGAGTGTTAGTGAGTCTGCGTATGAGCCTGGGTCTGAGTGTGATCGAGTCTGAGTGCGAGTGAGTCTGAATGTGAGTGAGTCTGAGTGTAAGTGTGAGCGAGTCTGATTGTGGTGAGTGAGGCTGAGTGTGAGTGAGTCTGAGTGTGAGTGTCAGTGGGTCAGAGTCTGATGAGTGAGCCCGAGTATGAGTGAGTCTGCGTGAGAACGAGGAGGACGAGGGGGATGAGGAGGAGGAGGAGGAGGAAGAGAAGTAGGAGGAGGAGGAGGAGGAGGAGGAGGAGGAGGAGGAAGGAGGAGAGGATATGCGCTGGAGGCGTCTGAGTAATAACTAGCACCCAATCTCAGAATTTGGGGGATACCAAGGCTCCATGTTTGGGAATGGTGGGGAACTCGACATCGGGTGCCTGGGAGGATCGGTAATCGAATCTTGTCCTTACGATTTTGGGGCAGCACGCGCTCTCGGAGGGGTCTGGATGTCGGTCGTCGTAGTGGTTGCCGCCGTCGTCGTCGTCGTCTTCGTCGTCGTCTTCGTCGTCGCCTTCGTCGTCGCTGTCTTCGTCGTCGCCGTCGTCGTCGTTGTCACTGTCGCCGTCGTCGATGGATTGATCCGTGTGGGCCCCTGGGCTTGAAGTGGGTGGCACACGTCTGTAGTGTTTTGTTCAAGAGGCTTGAGCAGTCCCGCCGACCCCCGCGACAGCGGATGAGGCGTTTGGGCTGCTCTTGGGGACCGCTACTGGGCATCGTGATCGCCCTTTGAGGGGCTCGTCGCGCTAGTTGGCAGTTCCGTGGGTTCTCTGTCTTCGGGGGGGACGGTTCGACACGCCAGTTGTTTTTGTTAAGCTTTCTGTAGCCGTCTTGATTGCGCGTTTCGTCAGCGGAATGGTGACCGTCTTAGGGTCGGTTTGGAGCGAATTTGGGCCGTCTTGGAGCGATCTGAAGGGCCTCTCGGGTCCTTTCTCGACGCTGTGGAGATTGCAACGGCGAGGACGTATGTGACATTCTACACTTTCGGCATGTATGTGATCGACTGTTGCTTCTTTGGGCCTTCCTGTTCGTTTGGAACGGTGGTGTGGCGTCTTGGAGGTTTCTTGGACAGTCTTGAGCCTTGGCTGTTTTTGAGAGCTCCGCACCCTTTTCGACCCCCGCTTGGTCAAATAGCTGCCACCTTGGGTATCTCGGAGGCCACGGAATGTGCCCCTCGAGGGTCTTGGGACGCTGGGGTTGCGTTGGCGAGCTCGTTCCCGCACCCTCTTCCTCTTCATATCGGAGTTTGACATTGGGGAGAGGGTGGCAGAGGGAGAGGGGCAGACACTTTTCACAGACGTACGCCAGGCGAGCGGAAGTCGGCGGATTTGTTTATTCTGTGGGGTGTAGGCAGAATTTGGGGTCAGTGGCCTTCACCTCAAGGCAGTGTGGAACACCCGACGACGAGCGATCATGCAAGACGTGCGCTAAGACGACCGGTGAGGAAACACCTGCAGCGAGAGCCAACGCAGCCGCGACGCGGGAGCGAACGCTGGCATTTGGGCCTTCGATGGGGCTCCCTATGGGGCCACGGAACGTGTGAGGGGCGTGCCAGAATGAGTGTGGTGGGCGCGGTCGCAAAAACGTGTGAGGTGTGTGGTAAGATGGGCGCGGTGGGAGCATGCGAACGCTGGCACTTGGGTCTTCGGCGGGGCTCCCACACGAAACGTGTGAGGGGTGCGCCAACATGGGTACGGTGGGCGCATGCGAGCGCTGGCATTTGGGCCTTCAGTGGGGCTCCCTATGGGGAAACGGAACGTGTGACGGGTGCGCCACAATGGGTGCGGTGGGCGCATGCGAACGCTGGCATTTGGGGGGCCTTCGATGGGGCTCCCTATGGGACCACCAAACGTGTGAGGGGTGTGCCAAAATGGTTGACTGGTTCGGAGGGCAGATGCAGGGATCGGAGGAGGAAGGATGAGGGAGGAGAGGGCGGAGGAAGGAGGAGTGAGACGCGGGGGCTGTCTTTTCAAAACGAGGACCTAACACCACTGGATGGTTGGGAAAAAACACTTGTGCGCAGGGGCGAAGGTGGTGTGCGCGGACTGCTTGCAGAAAGGGGTTCGTTGCGAGATCGTGAAAAGCTTATGGGTGCTCGGGCACCTGTAAAGAAAAGGCTGCCACGGGGCGAATGTTCCAGAGCGAGGAGGCCACTTTCCTGTTATCGCTTGGTGAGAGAAGTTGGCATGCAGAGAGCGTTGCAACGTGAGAATGTTTCAAGTGCTCGACCACGTAGTGAAATGCAGGTGTCTTCGTCGAGCTCTTGTCGGATCGTCTCGGAAGCCGCAGGGCCCGTCT